TACAACAACCTGTGACATCCAGACATGAGGTGACAAGTATGCTTTATATATGTAGATGATTTTCAAGAACTTTATTTACTTTTATATTTAAACCATTATAAAGCAGCACTAGGGGCTTTAGAAAACATATGTCCGTTTAGCTTGAAATTTATATGTTGTTTAAGTCCAAATTTTACAGCCACAAATTAATTAGTACTCATTGTTATGACAATCAGCTGTGCTTCCTGTACACCATACAACTGGGTATTTATCAACTTCTTAATGCGACACATGTATGAAGCTACACTCACTCTTTTAAGATATTATATTATTCATTATTTGAATGAAATCATATAAAACTAAGTTGTGGCTGTTCCTATAGTTTTGTATTGGGGATCTGTAATATTTCTTTCATTGTAAACTAATTTTAGTTCAATAATTGTTTTATGTTGTTTATTGATAGAGTTGTACAGTAGAGTCTTACTCGTTTGTGAGGATGTATTCTGCCCCACCTTGTGCATAAAAAAATCCATACACCAAAAATACATTGACCTTATGGAAAATTTACCCTTAGGATGTGAGAATGTATTCTGCCCCACCTTGTGCATAAAAAAATCCATACACCAAAAATACATTGACCTTATGGAAAACCTACCTTTAGGATGTGAGGATGTATTTTGCCCCACCTTGTGCATAAAAAAAAACCCAAACACCAAAAATTTATTAAACTTATGGAAAAACCTACCTTTAGTGTACGAATCCAAAATGTTCACAGTGCAAAATTATGCACCAAAAACACATTGCATGATTGTGAAACCATATATTTTGCTTTTTAATTTGTGAATCATCATGATTTGATGTCATACAGTACTACTGTATACATTATTTTTTTCATACAATACAGTACAGAAACTATTACTTATAAATACATATTAAAATAAATAAACCAAATACAGTACACATTCAGTCAACATACTTTTACATTACAGAAAAAACTAATAGTTGACCCATAGATGCCACATTCTTGATTTATCTTGTTTGGTGACTCCCCAGCATGAAAACAATGCAATATTTTAACCTTTTGCTTCTTAGAATCACAAGCATGTGAAAGACCTGGCCTCTTAAAAGACATTTTAGCAATATTCATACTGATTCATAAAATATATCACACAATAAATGCAGATAACTTTTGTTTATAATCCAAGATCCTGTGTTCACAAGCTTAGCCACGAGACTGGTGGCAGATTATTGTTCAGCATGCTATAGAATAGTAATCTTCGGGATATGGATGTAGTCTTCTTCGTTTTTTCTTTTACTCTTTCACCTGATATTTGCCCCCACCTGTAAAGTAAGGAACATACGTTCTTTATTCATTCCACATGATCAGGAAAGGGCTGCTCTTATGGCAGTGACAACATCCCCAGCTGTGCAGAAGACTCTCACTGGTCATGCTGGTGGGCAAAATAGAGAGATTTCTGGCCACACTGCAAATAAGGGGGAACATTTAATGGTGATTGTTTGACAATTCAAGAGGATGAGCATATAACTTCTCAATTTTTATACATAATTAACACAGTGGCTAAATCTTTTTGACAGCCCCTCTCCTATGTTTCAAACCACTTTTTAACTTTAGGAACAGTACACATATCTAAAATGTATTGTTCATGTAGCCACTTTCATTTAACAATTTCTCAACCTGCATCTACAAGTTCCATAATCTTTAACACTTCATAGCACTCAGCCTCAGCGACAAGTTTGCAAGTACAATCCTGAGTCATCCAGATTTGGTAACATTTGCTGTAACATGATTTATAAAAGAACATTGAAAATAACCACACAAAATTCTTCCATAATAAACTGATTTTTAATTCTTTATCTGCAAAAAACCCAACCATGCTCACCCCTCCCTCTTACTGAAATATGAAATAGCACCTCTGGTTCTTGACACAAATAAGTGTGCAATTTTGAGATTCACTATCTCAAATGGCTTGGTAGTGAAGGACATTTAATCTTACTGATATAGGTTATGGAATTGTATCATGAATAACATAGTCAAGTATTAGTATAATGAAAATTTCATCCCAAAATTGTATAATATTCAATTAATCTGTATGGATCACTTGGATATTGTCACAAAATCTTGCCATTGTGTAAGACTGTATTACCATGAAGCAGTATAGTCATACAATGGAAAGGGGTTGTGCTTCCAGTTGAAGATATCTCTAAGCCATTTAGTAGTTTCTTTACTGTTTCCACATGCATATTGAAAAAAAAAAGTGTTTATTTTTTTGTAACAACAACAACAAAAATTTATCAAAAATATTAGGCTCAGATTATTACAGATAGAAAATATTATTTGATCTACAGCTATTTTTGATTCACTAAATCTATGACTGAATCGTTAAACATCTACTAAGCAGTTTAGTTCTTTCAAGATTCTGACTCATTTTGTCAACGAGTGCTTCATTGCCACAATTTCAGCTTTAGATATACTTCTGTCAGTCTTTTTTTCTTCTTCTACATATGTCTTCATATTTTCTTATACATGAATTCTGTGTTAATTCCTTTTCTGAGTTCTTGCCTATCTCAGATGAACCACATTTCCACTTTGATAAGACACTTTTTTGTTGTTTTAGCATTAATGGTCCATAGTGGTGTAAGATCCCTAAATTGTTCAGTTGTTAAAATATGTTCTTTAAGTTATGTGCCTAACTTCAGCTTTTTCAGCTCTGGGCTTCTTTTATTTCTTCTTCCTTAACCCTTTCTTGCCACGGAGGTGCCATTCATTTCTATCCCTTGATTTTTAATTCTTTCTGTGGGAGTACTTAACCAAAGTGCATAAAACATATCATGTGCTATTTAGTTTTGGTTTTATAAAATTAATGTGATTTGTTTTAGTTCTTCTGTCATGTTTTACATTAGAATTCCAATTTTAATTGTTGATCAGAAAGTTCCTTTTTAGTTTTTCAGACATTAACATATTATTTTAGACTTTATTTTATTGGGTACAGTAGTCATCACTTTTGGCTTTAAATTGTAAAATTTAATCTGCATTGATGTTAGTAGTTAATGTTATAGCCAATGATATTTAGACCTTGCCTATAGCCAGGGCTTGCACTTAATGTTTTTTGGGTAGTTAACTAGACCACCTAGGCATGTCTTTTGGATGGCCAGGCAGCAGTTTAGGTGACCAATGTATTTTTTCCTTACTTAATAATGAAGCAACCCATAAATAAATGAATCATACTATGACCTAGAAACCTTTCTTGCTTGTAGTCCTAACAAAAATTCATTGAGAGAGATAAAACTTCAAAAAGAAAATAGAACCCTGCTAAAGAAAGTGAGAAATAAATCATACTGAAAATGGTGTGGATGTCTAGTATGTTGCATACAATGGTGTAAAATGAGTTTGGTTGCTCAGCTCCATCAAATAAATAGGATAAAAACTCATGTGACTGGTTTATGATGCCTGCAGACAAATAATCCAAGACAGTGAGTGCACATAGTTCTTTTTTTTTTCAGTCTTTATTGAAGCATTCACTCTTTGAACTTAAAAAAATGTCACATCTCACACCTGGTAAGTTCAGAACTTCTGCTCTGGAAACTTATACTTTGTCTTAAAAATAAAGGCAAAAACAAAACAACAAATTCTGAAATTTTTGCCATGTACTTATAGTAAAACAGAAGCTTGGAGGTACAATCAATGGAATACAATAAAGTGTAACATTCAAAGTTAGCCTAGGTCAATCAATGCTGGGTAAGGTACAAATATTGTTTTACAATAAATGAAAAGTTTTATAGAATGATATACCACAAAACTGTAGGACTCTTTAATTTGCCATAGAAATCATCACATTGTCTGTTCCAAGTTAAGTTTATGTAACTGTGTCTGTTACTCTACTTTGAGTAATAACAGTCCCTTTCCCTAGGGAAACTCCAGATTTTTTATTCCCCTTTCACGGGTTTTTTTAAAGCTATTTTACCCCCTTTTGTAGGGAATTAAAAAATTTTACTCTTTTGTGAAGGGATTGTGATGATTTCATGACCCCTTTGTTCAATTTCTTGGGAATGAGGCTTCAAATATTCTTGTTTGCAACATTTGGTGGACCTATATAACCTAGCAAAATATACACCTTTTTCCAGAGAAAATTAGAAATTGCATATGGCCCTTCAGAGCCTGGAGTGGGGCCCAGGATCCACTTCATACAGCACAAAGTGCAGCTAAAGTTTTGTTAATGTCTGTGCTGTGCGTGTCATCTGTTTCCACTGTGCTGGCTGATACACTGTAACCTAGTCGATAACCGGCTAAATGCGAACTCAGATAGGGTCTAAGTCTGTGTGCAACATTGTGCCAATGAATCCAACCCTTGAGATAATGGCAAGAAATTGACTCAATAGTTGAGAATAACATTGCAAATAATTCACAGGATAACTTTATTGTTCTCTACTTGTCTCATGACATAAACATTTTTTATATTGTAGGGGAAATAATCATTTAAATTTAGATTTTCATGGGCAACTTTTTAGTGGCCACACGAACCACCCAGGAACACCTTTTAGGTAGTATGCCAGCATTTTTAGTGGTGATTGGACCACTGTTAATTTCAAGCTGTGCTTATATCTACTTTCAAAGCTGTGCTTCATTAGTAAATGTTCGTACTACATGCTGTGACATCATAAAAGTGAGATTGAAGGGCTATAATAAGAAACTTAAAATAGAGAGTCACCTTTTTGTGTCATTGTTATAATAACACCTCCTGCATACTGTATCAAAACATCACTAACTGTACATTGATAACATTTGAAATGCAAAAATTTGAAATTTTATCTGTTTAATTAACATTTTATTTTCATGTGAATAAATGCATATACATTTTTAGAGGAAATGATGTTAAATGTGGCTCTGGCAAGAATGTTTTAACATTTATCTGTATTCCTTGTATTTATGCTGATAATTATAATTTGTTTCAGAACACTTCTTGTACTGAAAAAATTAATCATTTTTGTCTTTCTTATCACAGCCATATTAGTGAAAGAGATGAAAACTCAGACATCTCAATGTAATCTTTTAGCATCCACTGAGAATGACTTGCAAGGAACTTTTCCTTATGCACATGATGATAAAACTACTTTGAATCAGGACAGTACAACTGTACCACCTTTAGTGCTGTGCAGTACCTCTGACACATCATTGTATACAATTACATCAACTCCTGTCTCAAGCCCCTCTTCGGCTTCAAGCATACTTTGGTCTACTTCTGAAAAGAAGCATATATTGACATCATCACCAACTACCATACAGCATTCAGTAGCTACTACTAGTGTATCTGGAAATGATCAGTTATACAAGCCTGCCCCAAAACAGAACCATTATAACAATTCCAGGATACTCATAAATGATGTATCAACATCAATAAACCCTGTAGAAAATTCACTTTCAACCAGTCAGTCAGTTACCAAGCCAAAAACTTCCACTGTGTCAACAAAGTCTACTGTACATACTCCCAAACCATTTCCAAAACCTTTATTGCCAAAACCCATCACAGTGGTTAGCTCAGTTACTTTGCCAAGTACTATACAGTTGTCATCAGTATATTCTGATTGTACAAATTTTATTGGACAACAACCTACCATTGTCACTCCTGTTATAACAAAAAGCACCTCAGGATGTGGACTTGTCAATGTTGGACAGTCAGTACAAGAAAGAGCAGCTGTTTTACTTGTTCCTGTTAGCAAGCCAATAAACTGTGTTAATGGAGAAAAATTTTGGATAGCAATACAACCCAACAATTCCCCAAGAACAGAGGTTTTAAAACAAAATAGTATCATGAATTGTGCCAGTCCTGTGAATAAACGGGAACTTCAGAAGAGGAAAATTTCAGAAATACTTCCTGACACATCTGATGCATCTTTTATTACTGGTGATGATGACAAGTCCAAAAGAGGTAAGTGTTTTGTAACTTGTATATTCCATTGACTCCACTGTAATAGGCCTATGTTTAAATGTACTAGATGTTTGTTTCTGCAGATATTACTTTATCAGGAAAAAAGAAGTACTTGTTTTTTTAATATTTAATAGATTAAATCATTATTATATCACATAAACATATATATAGACATATAATGTAAGGACAACAAAAGACCTATTGGTTCCTCTAGGCCATCCCATCCACCATACTAAACTGTAAAGTAAAAACACTCAAAGCTAACCTCTGTCATTCAAATATTTATCAAATCTTCCTTAAACTCCCTTAACTTAGCTGCATCTACCACATCTGAAACCAACCTATTCCAGAGGTCAACCACCTTGTTAGAAAAAATGAGCTGTCTGAGTTGAAAATGACTCCTACCCTGCCAAAATTTATATTTATCTCCCCTAGTTTTACACTTCTCACCATTAAGTATCTCAAAAAAATGTGATGCATCAACACTATCAATTCCCTTATCAATCTTAAACACCTCAATCAGAACCTCTAACTATTCTTTTTTTTTAAAAAAAAATTCATATGACAACCTTTCCATTCCAGGCATTATCCTAGTAGCCCTCCTCTGAACCCTTTTCAACAATTCAGTGTCCTTTCTAAGGTAAGGAGTACATTATTCCAAGTGCAGCCTAATCAATGACATTATAACCTCTTTAGACTTGTATTCAATATTTTCATTGATACAACCTAGAATCCTATTTACCATCCCACTAGCAACAGCACATTGCTTAGATGACTTAAGAGACTTTCAACCAGCACACCAAGATCCTTTTCTCTCACAACACTGTTACGGTTATTCACAACAAAATTATACTCATAATTCAAACTGTGATGTCCCACATGCATTATTTTGTATTTATTGTAATTAAAAGTCATATGCCATTTATTTGTCCAACTCCCTAAATAACTGTAATCCTTTTGTAAAGCAGCAGCATACTCATTATAGTGAGTGATTTCCTAAACTCAGGGCTGTGTTTACCATAAAAAGAACTATGTGAATGCTGGGGGCCCAAAATTGTGGGTTTCAAAGATTAATACTACAAGTAATAACAAAATATGAATTAACTGAAAGTAAACAGTTTATAAAATTTAATCTCTAATGGTACATTTCTTGTATTGTTAGTTAGTAAATTTTATACACAGAGTCAAATGATAGAAGTCCAATATGTCAGATGAGGATTCTCAAGTTCAAGTCAATATAAACATTTATAATGCTTGGAGACGGCTTGAATGGGTAATGAAGAAAACTTTAATGTAAGTTTAATATAACAGCAATTGTACAACGTTTCGACAAGGTTTTGTCATCATCAGGTACAAGTAATTTACACTGACACAAATATATATATATATATATATATATACAGTATT